AGACAATATTATTAGGAGATGAGTCTAATAATATGAGTCGATTAAGGCTCAGTCGGCTAAGATGTTCGGAACCCGGAGATGCCACAATATAAATACATTTCGTTCTTGTTTTTATGGCTCAACCCTTGATTTGTTTGATACATTCCACGCTCAGGCCTTTGAGGACCTTGTGGACCGACAAAATATAAGTTTGAAGAACACCAAAGTCTTTAAATTAATTGTAAGAAATAAAAAAAAAACAATTATTAGAACTGTTTTATACAGATGCAAGTGTACACATCAATGAATATACCAACTAAAATATGAGTGTATAAATGTAATTATTATGTGTTACAGAAAAGATTATGAGTTGGCTCATGATTGTGAGAATCGGTTTTTAATAATTTGAAATCCATATAAATCTAAACCACCGTAAAAATATTACAAAACATTTCTGACTTTTATCATACCTTCAAGTTGCAAGACTTCAAAGAATAACTTGTGCAAAATATTTATGTATCCTGCCATCACATAGACCGCAATATTTATAAACCAGATGCAAATCCTGTCTTTGCTTCATAGTCTACGTTTACACTATTGACTAGAGTTTTTTCGTAAACTTCGTTGAAATAATATTCTCAAAGAAACTTTCAACTTTCCATCCTAAACTGATTTCGTCTGTTTTCGAATGATATATGGTTGCGTAACTAAAAGAACCAAAATCGCGTGCCACCGCACCGTTAAAGGATTGATTATGACGGATTGGTAAAAGCGTGTAACTGAATTTCCCTACCTTTCCTGATTGGTTATTCGGAACACACGCACAAACCTTACATAAGCCACTTTATGTGTTAAATGTTGGTTAAACATAATTTTAACAGAAGTATAAAAAATAGGGCAGCTATTTTTGATAGGTCCTGTCTTGTGGCAGTGATTTTCACATGTTTAAAAAGCGGAAACCTATTTGTATATGTATTTTTAGTAATTAAAAAAATATGAATTTGGTAAGTGCAGTGGCCAGAGCATAACTATCAGGCCCCAGCTAAAGTTTTACAAAGTTTTCCAACTATCAATAGTTTTTAGTATATGTTTTATGTATTATCGTTACAGGGTGGTTTGGAGATTGCCGATTTTAAATATAATTACAGGTAACTGCTATAGGGAATCTGGTACAATTGTTTATTATTTCATCTTATAAGTACCCTAACCCGAATACATATAGATATTTTATATAGGTATATATTTGATTAATAACTTGGTCCGTTAATGAAAATTATAAAAACTTCGTAAATAATTACGTACGTAAATAGTTATCCCAGCACTACTTTTTTTTACTTAAATCTAGTCTGGTTAATTTTTTCTTTACAACATGAATGTGGTTCAAGTCTTATTTACATCGTACTGAGTGCCACTGATTTTCGTCATTAAATAATAAGTTACCACAACTACATAATTTTCTGGTTAAATCGTCTTACAATCTTGAGGTCGCTGGTACGATTTTTACAAGATCAATTTTGGGGTCAGATTGCATTTATTCAAATGGCTAGCTTTAAAAAAGTGTAAACTACATAATAAAAGAATCAGGGTTTGGTCTGTTCTAAAAAAAAAAAATACGATAGAGTAAATACACAATACACACTTCATCTTATTGGTTTGGAATTTGTTTAATATTTAGTTCTACATCTAAAACAAAATAAGTCATTTTTGATCCCATGATCCCATAGCAAAGCAACAAGCTAGGGAAGCGATCACACCGTAAACTTTTCTACAGAACTACAATATCGTAGAACTTTTGATGGACCGTTCTAGATCAAAGAGCACTAACCAAATTGATTGGACAATTTGCAACACTGAAGACGCCTCCATTACCAGCTACCAATTACTGTGCAAACAGTCTTTACCCACAAGCAATTTCGCGGGATAATTTTGCATTTCGAACGCCAAGAATGGCGCTAACGAGTCGACAATGGCTCAAACGGTTATCAAACAATCCCCAATTAGGCGGCAATTGAGGTTAGGATAATCAGCTGAGAGCTGACACAAACCCCCCCTCCCCCCCCCCCGCAACATCCCCTGACACTGGGAGAGATCAATAGATGGGTGATGTCAGCTTACGCGTGAAAGTTTATAATCCAAATGATCAAATATGATTGATATCACAAAGTATGTTACAACTTCAAATAAAAGTGGTTTGCTTATGGATACCCAATAACACTTTTCCTACTCAAAATTGTTTTCTTGTGATATTGCGTCACTTTTTCGTAAATTAAATCAAACCAATATTCTATGAGGTAGTGTAATGGATAATGGATAGATTTGTTGAAAATGTTTTGGTAATTTAATTTCAACCTATTCTTATAATATGTGTTTGCAAATAATAGACCAACTCTGTATAATTTTATTGCTGTCTACTTATTTTCCATAAATTAATTGGTTAATTATGGTTAATGGTTAAACAATAAGTTAATGGTTTAATTGATTAATACTTAAATCAATAAATTTATTGCCAATATTCCATATTTTTAAGTATTATATTATTTTTTGTATATAAAACTGTATTTGAAGAAGGGAATTTTCTTAAACACCGCTAGACAAATACATTAGTGGTATGTACAATTATTTTTAGTGAAGGAGAATTAACCAGCTCAAGCTTTTTTCCTGGTATTGTTACTCGTTAGAATTATCACGGGTGATCTTGTAATAAAATACGGGGACTTATCCCTTACAATGCTGGGTTCAAATCCCGCCAATCACATGTGTATCTCAAATATGTTACAGCGTCATTACACAATAGTTTGGAGCTCTTAGATGAAAACTCATTTGAGTTTGAACTGAATTGTTCTTTTTCATTTCAACCTATCAAGTAATTAATATAAATGTTTCTTAGGTGAAGACATCTTATATATGTTTAGAGAACAATGTATATTTTCATCACAATGATGTTTATGTATATTAAAAATTGTTGTTAATGATAATAATTAGTTATTTTTATCATTTTATAAAGTTTAGTGACGGTAGTCCCTGTTAAAGATTTTTATTGTGATTATTTGAATACATGCACAGCTTTTAATTATTTATTTCATTATAAATACAATTATACTATATCGATCAATAGGCGATCATTCAAATTAAAATATCTAGCCCTAAACATAATATGGGGTAAGAATGAAAATCTTAAGTACGATTAAACTACTTAAACTTGAGAATCTCAAACCAGTAAACGGTGTAGCTGGAAGGTGGAAAATTAACTTCAAGGATGACATATTTAGTGAGTAATGATCAATAGGCGATCATTCAAATTAAAATATCTAGCCCTAAACATAATATGGGGTAAGAATGAAAATCTTAAGTACGATTAAACTACTTAAACTTGAGAACCTCAAACCAGTAAACGGTGTAGCTGGAAGGTGGAAAATTAACTTCAAGGATGACATATTTAGTGAGTAATGATCAATAGGCGATCATTCAAATTAAAATATCTAGCCCTAAACATAATATGGGGTAAGAATGAAAATCTTAAGTACGATTAAACTACTTAAACTTGAGAATCTCAAACCAGTAAACGGTGTAGCTGGAAGGTGGAAAATTAACTTCAAGGATGACATATTTACATTAACTCTATCTCGCCAAGGTTACAAACCCTCACATTAGCTTTGTAGGTCAATATATTGTAGTCAGTCAATTTCATATTCATTATTCACAGATAATTTTGTTGCTGAGTGAAAAATACCCATCACAGCTTTCCCCCGTTTTTAAAGGCTCTTTTGATGATACCGTTACAAAAATTAAAGTTTCTTCTTGTCATTGGTGGTAAACCTAAACACATTTTGTATAGTCTATTTATTATAAATTAAATATAATTTATTGTATTGACATGTTTTCAATTCATGCCTGTTTGTTTTTTTATAGTTTTGTTTTAGTAGTCAAACAAAAACTACCAACACAAAAACCAAACTACGGGTTTCAATAAATTGTGTATGTTTAATGTGCAGCATAACTAAAATAACCTTAATATTCATTACTAAGTCAGCAACCCATGTAATTCTATATTATTGTAACATTCAGTTGAGCAGAACCTTAGTTTGACACCCCTGAATAAATAAGTACTGTATAGTGTATGGGCCTTAAATACTGTATATGCCTATAAAGTAACCTACGGACCAAACGTTTCCTAAAGTAAAACACAACTGAATCCTCTTAGAACGACTTACTTACAAATGATAATCACTAAACTAAATGTACTTAAGCAATCATACATAATTCTTTTATCGTTTAATATCAATGTGATATAGTATTTGTACCACGATAACCACGTATTTCTGAAAATGTCCCACAACATGTGCAATAAAATTGTTAAAATTGTCATTTTATGAACTTGTTATTGATTACGTCGATTCCAAATATAGTATGTCATTTTACTCGTGCATATAAGTTAATACTAGAATTATAATACTACTAAAGTCTAAATGAAACTTTAATTCCAACGTTATAGATTTATAATGATTTTACTTGCTTTATATTTATACTAATTCTAATTCAAAGAAAGGCTTGGACAGCGAAGATATTATTAATATTAAGAATGCTTAATACAAACAATTAATTCTATAACATCAATGGCCTTCTGTTTTTTTTTTTCTATTTTGACGAAGTTTAACTATAATAGGTCTATTGACAGTCGTGAGATGTGTATGCCTACAACATTACAAGTCCTAACCAATTTCTATACATGGAAAATCAATCCAACTTTTTCTACTCCAACCAATATTTTCCCAACAATGAACACTCAACTTGAAGTTTAACTTCTTAAACTGTTTCTTCTGCATATAAAACATTAAATTGTTACTAAAATACAATATTACATTTGGCAAAGGTGAACCATTGTGTGAAATCACTCAACCAACTAGCTAAGTGTTTTTATGTTAACTAGTATATTAAGTTAACTAACTAACTAGTCTAAGCTATCTATAAATGATCGTGTGTCTAAGGACTAAAAATTAAGGAGAATCTACGAAAGTACTCACTTTGGTCGTGTTTTTGGGAGCACACATTGAGTCCTGTAGTGCTCCCGAGATGATAAAGATGAGCAGTAATACAACAAGGAACCCTGAACCTAGAGTTCCATAGAACAACCAGTTCTCTGAGGTTTTCCCCTCGTCACACACCTCTTGAAGTCTGCTCGCTCCCTTCAGTCGTCCCAAGTCCTCAGGAGAGATGCTCAGCTTCTTGGAATTCTTCAGGATAACCTTCAGTTTCCTGGAGGCCTCCTTCAGTCTATCCTTCCCTCCTCGCCATTTCGTCCTGCTCCTCATCATCAGACCTCGATACCCATCACTAAACTAGACTCCACACCCATTGAGTTTCTCCCCGACCGCGTAGTTTGTCCCTGCTTCTTCTCGCGACGAGGCAACACTGGTACCTGGTGCAGCCGTCGTAACCTGGTTCGCGTTTTCCAGTTTTCCCAGCGTGGGGAAGTGAATTTCCCTGCTTCGTAGGGAATTTCCCGCTACAAGTTTTTTTAAAGATGTTATGTATTTTGAAGAATATTTAACGATTTTATTGTTTAGTGAGTGATAAAAATGGGATGTGTTAGTAGTTGAAACGCATTTCTTTACTATTATTAAGTTTTCTACAGAGTAGCAAGTGTGAAAGATTTCATGCATTAATATGTAAAATAAAGTTCAAATAAATACCCTAAGCATAAATACAAATATTTTTTCTTTAATAGAACTTGAATTTCTCTTAATTGTAAAAAAAAAACCTACGGGAAAATATATATTTAAGTGTTTTTTATGCATCAGTTGAGCAAATAAATAACACTGGTGTAATAGAAACTGAAAATGTGACGGATCTAATATACTTTTTTCTTACCATAAACTCAATCAAACGAATATTCTTTTTAGTAAAATTAATATTTTGAAAATACATTTCGCAGGAGGATATTATTTTCGTAGCTAGCGGGAAATAAGAAATTCCCGTATCTTGGGAAATCTTCCCTCTGTTTGCATCAATGCAAGGTCACAATGCGCAAGATCCACCCCCTTATATCCCTCCTCCTCACTCTCCGAACCCCACTCCACAGTCAATGTTGTATTGGTATTATTGTAGCTTAATGCCGTCAAGTTCAAGCAAATATAATCCCGCATTAAGAATATTGTTTGCCCTAATTAAGTATAAGCAAACATGCGTAGATAAGTTGATTGCTTTCACGAAGCTAATTGTTTTAATGTGAAATATATTCTTCCACAAAACTTTCGACGAATACATGCCTTTACCCCGTAAATTAATTAATAGGCTTACGCATGTGAAATGTTACTAATGCAGGATATATATCTGTGTTCAGTGATATATTATTGAAACATATTCCAAATTATTCAATATATTTGAAGATTGTTTCAATAAATGTTTGTCTCTTTTTAATTATTTGTGATCAGTCCGTTGAGTTTGTACAGTCTGATGACTTTAAATAAACATTATTACTGAAAAAATAAAAATATTTATGTTATTCGTACGATAGTCAAAATATATATTGAAAATAAGTTCTATTGATTACCTTAGTTTGAGTTATTTAATGATTCGTGTAGTCTCATTTACCCTACACCCAAAATCAATCTTTTCAATTATGTCTAAGAGAACAAAAGAAACAACACTTCAAAAAATATTAATAAAAAGGAAAACTTAATTGTATATTTGTTTAAATTGTATACAAAATAAAATTAAATTAATGGGATGAAAATACAATAATTATAGTACACAGTTGCGAAAATATGTATTTCTTCCACGTGGATTTTACAGCACAATAACACTATATTGTATATTATGAAATGCGCTTTTCTCTGCGATTCCTGAAAGTAGGATCTCGTGGATTTGCAATATATCTTATTTGTTGCTGAATCTACTTTTCCTTCAAGGATATACTATTGCTGTACTGATATATTATTTATATTTTAGCACAACTATAATCTACAGATAATAATAATATCCAGTATTTTAAACATTCTTTAATTCTATTTATTCATAATAATGTCTGGTAATGGGATATTTCAAGCACAGTTAAACTGCATTTGAATTATAATTATAGTGTATACTATTTAAATGTCTGTATTTTTACTTTTTCTACTCAATCACACTTTTCTACTTTGAACATCTAAACAAACAAGATCCGTCGCACTATTCTTAAAAGTCTGTGTCTATATAATTTAAACCTGAGTTAAATGCCTTGTAAAATTGTGTCCAGACAATAAACTGACCGGAAGTGAGCCAGCCTGTGGCTTGTGACCGGAAGTCTAATGTATTTGTCTGAATGCAGACCAGCGTTGGACTTCCGGTTTGGCCATGACACTGAATTGTTTGAAACTAAATTACCTAGAAATTTGGGGAAATTTCTCCTGCGGAGTATATTTTGTATGAATTCAGCTAAAGCCCAAACTCCGTCGCGAAACTTGTTTAAATTACTTGTTTAGTGTAAGAAGAAGAAACAATGAATGGACAATGGAAAAACTCGCCTTTGAATTTGGTACATTCTAGTGAGGTTAAGTTTTGCAATATTTTGTTGAGAATAAAAAAAATAAGTTTAAAGTAATATGTTTAGAGTAAACTATACGTATTATTAAATAACATTTACTAATATCATAGATGAAGTAATATAAATAGTATATATATAGTATATATATAGTATATATATATATAGTATATATATATATATATATATATATATATAGTATATATATAGTAATATAATATATCATAGATGGTGTTTATTTATTCTATGCTAATATGGTGGAGCGAGCTGGTCTAAAGAATAGAGCGCGGGCTTTGGTTCCAGAGGTCCCGGGTTCAAATCATCAAATCACCAATGGATTTTATCATTGACTATTTGATACTAATCAAAGATGTTGTCTAAGTTATAATGTCGCAACCCCTAGGTCTAGCCTGAAGTAATGTGAAAAACAATCCCATGCTCGTGCCTAGCGTCCTTGGAAAAAAATTCTCATCTTAAAATGCTCATTTAACTCCTTTTATCAAAATTCTTTTGACATGTATTGTATTACAATAACTGTAAACATTCCAAAAATTATAGACATGTTAGGTTCCCATGTTAATTATTCACCGAACTTTTTATAATCGAATTATTTAAGATAGAGGATTCTGTACAAAGATATCTTAATAAATATCACACCGTTCCAAAGAGTACTTAAACACAGTATTGTGTACTTTTAATAACACTTTGCTTTGTAGTTCTGATCAAAGAGTTTCAAATCCCTATATCCCGTTTGAGCGTCGTCAGCGAGAAGGTTGCGCCAGTGCGATAAGGCTTTGCACTCAAGTACAGTATCACCTTATAAAATGTTCCACCTTCTGAAACGTTTGATAAGAAATGTATTCCATACAAAATACAATAATGGATCCGATAAGTGGTTTTGTATTATACGTATTATAATTTGAGTTTGTGAAAAACAAATGACTGGTTCGATTATGTCAATCACTAGCAGTTTTCCACTATGTAGTTTTGAAGAAACACAATGTTCGGAACCTAACTTTTAGTTTCACTTCCATAAAGCACAAAATATTAATCTTAAAAAGCGATGTCTACGTTTGGGACATCCGTCCATTAAGTAATTTAAGTCGATAACGTGATAAATAATCGATGAAAGGTTAATTAAATAATGAGTCATAATTTACATATCATACCAACCTACCCATATGTTGCTGTGTGTTAGCCATATGTTGGTAACACTTTGCAAATAACTTAATTCGTATGTTCATTAATTAAGATTATACTAGTGAACCTGTGCGGCTCAATGCCCCGCAAAATAACATATGAATTTAGAAAACAAAATCATCGTGTTTTATATTGAATCGACGTTGAAAATTAAATACAGTAATAATAAAGCCTTAGAAGTGAGAAGTGCAGCAATTTTCTAGCTGTATGTGTGTTATATTTAGTAAATTAATAAGTGTCCAAGTTCAAGTAGCCTATGTTATAGGGTAGTTATTTTTAAAGATTTTTAAAAGCACATTTAACAAAACATTTTATCACATCAAAACAATAGGCCTATGTAGCATATTTTGAGGGTCATAAAATTCTGCTTGGAGAAAACGCTCTTAAAAATAAACACTAAAAAACAACATTTTTATCACAAAAGCACTTTCTTGAATACCTACTACGATTTTTGTCTTAATCGTATCCTTAGTTACCTTCAGGAATATTATCCTGGTCAGAATTTTCTGTAATGAATATGCGTATCCTATTTAAAGATGTAGCCTTACTTAAAACAACATATAATATAGTTGCTCATGACTGAAATTGGTCTGGGTAAAAACAGCGCTGCTCTTTAATTAAAGGGCTTGAGCTGCAAATGCCAAAGATAATAGAAATTATAGCATCAAACGGGCAAATTGTTATCCTCAAAATCAAAATATGTCCCCACTCACTTGTCCCAGTTAGGACTTAACATTCTATTAAGTTGTTAACTGTTCTGATCACATGACGCCTTGTGCCATTAATGAGGCTCTTTTATAATATGTATTCCTCATCAATAAAACCACTGCCCCTTTTATTAGTCTAATCTGTGTCTTGACAATCCACTGACCTCTATATTTAAAACTCAGTTGGAGGCTGCACTTTACTTGACGTCCTACACTCATTCGATTGTTTTTTTCGATTCAATATTTTCATTCGATTGTTTCATTCGATATATCGTTTGGTTAGTTAGGTTAGGTTAACCTTACCTAACTAACCAAACGATATATCGAATGAAGCAATCGATTAATCGATATATCGATCGATATTTTCATTCAAATGAGTGTAGGACGTCAAGTAAAGTGCAGCCCAGTTGGATTTTCTAGATGGGTGTATCCGCCTTTGTCTGTTTTCGAGGACTCACTCTTCTCCCCCTTGGCATACTGACAATTAATTACCTAACTTGTCAAGTTCATGTAGTAATTCATTAATACTGTTAGTTTATAAAGAAAATTAAATAAAAGTTACTTGGCTTGGTGCTTTCATAACTGCAAACTCAAAATACACCCACAAGTAAAAAAAAATCAAGATATTGGTTAAAAAAAAACTATGTTTGTGTAATAACATTATTCACATGAAGTAGATGATTTGTTTGATTTATCGATCAGCTGTTTTGTTTCAAATGAATTAATAATGTCAAAGATTTGTGATTTTACATCAATTATTATAGCCTAGTAAAGTTTTCTAAATCATGGTAACTTATTCTCAACTAAATTTTACTATTCCCAGCATTAAAATAAAGTAGTAAGATCCATTATGAGTAATCTTTAAGGTACACAATCCTTGATTGAAATGTAGTATACATTAACAGTCATAATGCACAGCAATTATTATGTAGTAGACTTTGACTATTTTCAAGTAACAAACATATGTT